AGGGACAAACCCAGCAATTGGGTTGTTTTGACTCAGCGGTTGGGTTACAACCCAGAAGGTTGGGTTAAACATTTAATGAAACCACTGGGTCAAAACAGTCCATTTGCTGGGTTTGTCCCTATTTTACCCAGCACTGGGTTGTATTTAACCCAGCATTTTTTAGAGTGTATGAGTCAAAATGATTGATTTTTCTTTTATGCCAAAAATCATTAGGATATTAAGTAAAGATCATGTTCCATGAAGATATTTTGTACATTTCCTACCGTAAATATATTAAAACTTAATTTTTGATTAGTAATATGCATTGCTAAGAACTTCATTTGGACAACTTTAAAGGTGATTTTCTCAGTATTTTGATTTTTTTGCACCGTCAGATTCCAGATTTTCAAATAGTTGTATCTCGGCCAAATATTGTCCTATCCTAACAAACCATACATCAATGGAAAGCTTATTTATTCAGCTTTCAGATGATGTATAAATCTCAGTTTCGAAAAATTGACACTTATGACTGGTTTTGTGGTCCAGGGTCACATATACAGTAGGTACGTTTTTGGAGTTTTGTAAAAATATAGGTAGAGTCATATAGGCTATTTCCAATTATTTTGTTATAATAAACAAATTTAAAAATAAAAATATTAAAAATAGTGTTGTGCGATATTGATTTTGAATTCAGCAAAAAGAAGGCATCTTAAAAGGCATAATAATGCAGTTTAGTGCCAAACATTTAGACCAGCCTTCAGATCTGGAGTGCTTGTGATGCCCAGGGAGCTTACTAGGTTTTGGACCAGAGGTGACATCTGCTAGTAAAAGTCCTTGGAGGTGCCTACTGCCCAGAAGTGACATCAGCTTATTTGCTTCTTACTTAATAGAGACACCTCAGAGTCATCTGTAAGACTCTGTAATTATCCAGACAGCAACAATCGGAATCAGTGACCCTACAGGACTCTACTGGCCACTGCTGGTATCGCTAGATACAGTTGCACAATGACTTTTTTTCCAGCACTTTACTGGCCCTCACATCCTGTTCAAACTCTCTCCCGATGGCTGTGGGCTTTTACATGCTCCATTTGTAATGCTGAAAATATTCAGAGGGATATTTTCTGTTTTCCATTTATAGTTCCTTGGTTTCCACCAGAGATTTTTGACTCATTGCTCTAGATACTTTGAGATATTTTAATTAGGTGGTATTATTTTACTCTTACTGAACAACATGTGACATTTACATTTACATTTAGTCATTTAGCAGACGCTTTTATCCAAAGCGAATTACAAATGAGGACAATAAAAGCAGTCAAAACTAACAAAAGAGCAACAATATATAAGTGCAAATGACAAGTCTCGGTTAGCCTAACGCAGTACAACGTAGCAAGGTGTGTATATAACATTAATGCCTTGAATTTAATGCGAGCAGCTACTGGTAGCCAGTGCAAATTGATGAAAAGAGGTGTGACGTGTTCTTTTCGGCTCATTAAAGTTTAATCTTGCAGCGGCATTTTGGATTAATTGTAGAGGTTTGATAGAAGTGGCTGGAAGACCTGCCAAGAGAGCATTGCAATAGTCCAGCCTGGACAGAACAAGAGCTTGAACAAGGAGTTGTGTTGCATGTTCTGTGACAGAGCGATATGGATCATTACATGGGTGGTTTCAACAGATTATATTACGTAAAGTTTTCAAATCCATGCTTACTGGATTTATTAACATTTTAATTACAATGCTTAGACCATATTGATGTTCCTCAAACAAATTATTGAGAAAATGAAAATTTAGTCATTTACGCACCCTCATGCCATTATAACCGTCACAAACCAAACAAGATTTTTAGAAAAATAAATCTGTAGGTCCATTCAATGCATGTGTAGTTGACCAATAGGCCTACTTCAATTTTCCAAAAAGCACATAAGGCCAGTATTAAAGCAGTCGATACCCTGTCGATACCATGTGTCTTCTGAGGTGGTCTAATTGGTTTGATCTAATTACGATTTCAAATTTCAAGATAATCAAAATGTAAAGCTGCTATTTTGAACTTCCCATTCATCAAAATTAATGAATAAATAAATAAATAAAAATCCTGAAAAAAGTACCACTGTTTCCATAAATATATGAAGCAGCACAACTGTTTTCAACATAATAATGACAATAATAAAAAAAAATTATGAGAAGCTAATCAGAATATTAGAATGATTTCGGAAGGATCCTGTGACAGTGAAGACTGAGGTAATGCTGAAAATGCAGCTTTGCATCACAGGAATCAATTACATAATAGTTTAATATTATACAATATTACTATTTCTACTGTGTTTTGATCATAAATACAGCCTTGGTGGGCATGGGCATAAGCCTTGGTGAGCTTCTTTCAAATCCATTAAAAAATGTACAGTAGTGCAGTCATGCTCAACTCAAACCATTTATTGTAACATACAGACTTTAACATTTTTGTAAATGTTTTATTTTTACAGTAGATGCACTCTCTTAGGTTTTTTTTTTTTTTCCATTGACAAAAATAAAATTTGTTGGTCTAACATCTATTTGCATACTGAATTGTGATTTATCTTTTCTTGCAATCATTTAACCAAATAATGACTTTAGGAGACATTGCATTGAAAAACAGCTTGATGCACCACAGACACATTTGTAAAAGTTAAACTTTTTTTGACTTGACATGCAGAACAAAAGCCTAAAACCTAAATCTTTAAAGGGGTCATATGATGTTGCTAAAAAGAACATTATTTTGTGTATTTGGTGTAATGAAATGTGTTTATGCGGTTTAAGGTAAAAAAAACCACATTATTTTCCACATACTGTACATTATTGTTTCTCCTCTATGCCGCGCCTTTCTGAAACATGTCGCTTTTTACAAAGCTCATCGTTCTGAAAAGCGAGGTGTGCTGTGATTGGCCACCTATTCAGTGCGTTGTGATTGGCCGAATACCTCAAGCGTGTGATGGAAATGTTACGCACCTTACCATACTGTGATGCCGTGTCCCGGAAGACCAAACAAAGTATTTTTGCTTTCGCAACGAAACACATAGCGTTTTCACAACATGGCGGCGGCGGTGGCAGCAACAATAACGTTACGCCTTCTTTCTTTGCCTGAACATTTGGGCGGGGTTATGCAAATCTTCCCACATCGTGACGTAGACATGTGGGGGCATGTTTGAACAAGGCGTTTTAGGGGGGCGTGGACGAGTCTTAACGTTTATAAAGAATATCTCTTTGGGTTTGAGACTTTAGTCTTTGCAACTTTAGGGATCTTATCTATTCACAAACAGCTTGTAACACTCCAAAGAGAAAGGAAAACTTGAAATCTCATCATATGACCCCCACTTTTCGTTTACTGTCTTACAGAACACCGGTGTTTCAGTATGGTTAACCACATGGAATAAAGTTAGTTTGTCCAAATAAAATTCCCAAAGCATCATTGTGCGTTGTTAAGGTTAAGGGATAAATATTTTGATTATGAATTACCTGTATATGCATGTTGTTTTCTTTTTCTTGTCATCTAAATCTCAAAGAAAGGTCAAAAAACCCTCCCATGTTCAGTACTGTGAAAATGCACATTTCTTTTTCTTGGCTCTTCTCTGATGTTGTAAGTAATTAGTGGGATGTCATTAATAACATATTAGGCAGACAAGCTCTTGACATTTTATTCAGATGACCAACATCAGATTATTGGAATGTGGATTACCATGGTGGTCCCAATTTCTGATGTTGACCGTTACTATGGAGAGGAAGTGAAGACAAACAGAAGTGCAATACATGCAGCAGCTTTATCACAATATTGGATAGTTAAGATGAAGTTCTACATATATTAGATGTACCTTTTTTGCAAGTATTCAAAAGGCTCACATAATAGAATAAGAGTGTGAATGATATAAACTGTTGGTCAGAAGATTGTAATAATTACTCTTTTCAAAGTTTTTTTCTGCTCACCAAGGCTGCATTTGTTTAATCAAAAATTTAAATGAGCTATTTTTTATTTTAATGCATTTAAAATGTAATTCCTGTGTATTCTTGTGATGGTCAAGCTGAATTTTTTCAGCTTTATTACTTGAGTCTTCAGGGTCACATGATCCTTCAGAAATAATTCTAATATGCTGATTTTGAGCTCAGTGCTCTGCTATAAAAAACTCCACTAAACGTGTTAGTATAAGTGGAATTGCCTGAAAAACGTGTACGTAGAATATGGTCTTTTTAAGATGTGCTTCCTTTTCTGTCCCACAGGTCATGGAGGAGACAGATACTCAGATTGCATGGCCTTCCAAGCTAAAGATCGGTGCTAAGTCAAAGAAAGGTAAGACCTCTGTGTCCCTCATCTGATCTGAAACGTGCTCTGCTGAAGATGTGTGTGTGTATATACTAGTTTCTTAGCTGTGGCATCTTTCTGTTACTCATTTACATGCACTAATTTCAGTCAGTTGGAATGAAAGCAATCCAATTTGAGAATCTGAAAGTTCAGTTCATATGAACCCTAAACTTTGCGATCAGATTCACATATTTGTTTGTATGTGCATTACATATATTCTAAACAAGATGTCTGTGCATGTGAAGTGCATAGAAAAAGCCACTGCGAAAATCTCACCATATCTACATAATTGCCATTTTTGTCTTGATGATATACCTAAAGAGGAAGTTGACATATCTGTCGGAAAAGCTTTTTAGCAAATATGAAAGGGTATGTTTACAAAACAAGATGACAATTTTTATACAAAAAATGAAATGTTTTTTTTTTTTTGCGTTTTTGAAAATTTTTGCATATAGGTAACAACATTGTCAAAACGATCCCCGTTCACAAATGATCCACAAAAATTACCAATAATACTGTATTATGCGTTCCTGACCAGTAGTTGGCGACGTCACTTTGTAAAGAAACACTACACGTCTGTGGATGTATGTATGTCTATGAACACGTAATATGCATTTATGCATACATATGACGTCACCATTTTAACAAATAAAAATTTTTCGGCGTTTACACATGATAACAGTATCATTTTCAAAAACTTGCACTTTGAAACCTGTTTTCAAAAGGTTCAGCCCCCCCCCAAAACGCGTTGTTGTGTAAATGAATGGTCAATGCGCATAAAACATTTTCCATTTTTGGTTGAAAACAGTGTCATGTAAATAACTTCTCACTCTCCTCCACTGATCAATAACCATCAACAATAAAAAGAGCTAGCTAGTTTAACTGATTGCCTTAAAAGTCTATAGATATCGCCATCATTTAATACGGCTGTTAACGCGTTCTCCGACAAGTGGAAGAGATGAGAGCTGTTTTCCGGGTTTGGTCAGGTGACGTTCAACATATACCCTATTTTTCAGATGCGCTGGTAATATATTCATATGTACCATACAGTACAAACTGTTAGGGGTGCTCCGATTGATCGGCTACCGATCACTATCGGCCGATAATCACGTTGGGATGTGTGATCGGCGGTCTCTAAAAAGGCCGATCTCAAAAAATACGATCTCAAGCTGATGACGCTGCTGTGAGAGGTTTGGCACGACATGCAGCAGCACCGTCTCAGTCTCTGTCTGGCGCGGGTGAACTCATTATACCTCACCTTTATATTTCTTCATTAAATAACTTATATTACGTATTTTTACTTGTTAAAGTAATTTGAAAACCTTGTGTGAGACGTAATGATTTTGAGCTCAGTGCTCTGCTATAAAAAACTCCACTAAACGTGTTAGTATAAGTGGAATTGCCTGAAAAACGTGTACGTAGAATATGGTCTTTTTAAGATGTGCTTCCTTTTCTGTCCCACAGGTCATGGAGGAGACAGATACTCAGATTGCATGGCCTTCCAAGCTAAAGATCGGTGCTAAGTCAAAGAAAGGTAAGACCTCTGTGTCCCTCATCTGATCTGAAACGTGCTCTGCTGAAGATGTGTGTGTGTATATACTAGTTTCTTAGCTGTGGCATCTTTCTGTTACTCATTTACATGCACTAATTTCAGTCAGTTGGAATGAAAGCAATCCAATTTGAGAATCTGAAAGTTCAGTTCATATGAACCCTAAACTTTGCGATCAGATTCACATATTTGTTTGTATGTGCATTACATATATTCTAAACAAGATGTCTGTGCATGTGAAGTGCATAGAAAAAGCCACTGCGAAAATCTCACCATATCTACATAATTGCCATTTTTGTCTTGATGATATACCTAAAGAGGAAGTTGACATATCTGTCGGAAAAGCTTTTTAGCAAATATGAAAGGGTATGTTTACAAAACAAGATGACAATTTTTATACAAAAAATGAAATGTTTTTTTTTTTTTGCGTTTTTGAAAATTTTTGCATATAGGTAACAACATTGTCAAAACGATCCCCGTTCACAAATGATCCACAAAAATTACCAATAATACTGTATTATGCGTTCCTGACCAGTAGTTGGCGACGTGATCGGCTACCGATCACTATCGGCCGATAATCACGTTGGGATGTGTGATCGGCGGTCTCTAAAAAGGCCGATCTCAAAAAATACGATCTCAAGCTGATGACGCTGCTGTGAGAGGTTTGGCACGACATGCAGCAGCACCGTCTCAGTCTCTGTCTGGCGCGGGTGAACTCATTATACCTCACCTTTATATTTCTTCATTAAATAACTTATATTACGTATTTTTACTTGTTAAAGTAATTTGAAAACCTTGTGTGAGACGTAATTTCACAAACAGCATGAGTGAATCACCGCGCACGCTCTCTCTTTCTCTCTCAAAATACGCAAATGACTTCAAATCACCACATCGCGTCTATAAGCGAGCTACAGGCTGCACAGTTGACACAGGAATCACTTGCACAATCGAGGCAGTGTCACATCGTCACTAAAGTTTATAAATTGCATTACTTTTTAATTCTTGCCAGTGTTTAACCATTCAGCGCTCTCGCGCTCTCCTGGAAACCGAGCGCTCATGGACACTCGCTGCGCACACACATAATGGCAAGTTCACATTACTCCGTTTGCAGTGCGTTTGTGGTGCGTATTTTTTCAGCGCTCATGTTAACGGATTAAAGCATTCACATTGCACATGGTTGTGGTCTGGCAGTGCGTTCAGGAGCGGTGTAGGATTGTTTCCGCACCGAGTCTATTTTTGCTGCGCTGCAAGCCTGAATTAAAGTGACAGCGCATTGTTTGCTGTAAATATGAAAATGAAAATGTAGCAACTGCACCATAAATGCATATAATTAAAGTATACTGTCTTTCACAGTCAACACATATGGCTTGTTGGCTAGTTTTAAAGGAAAAGAGCACTTTTAGATAAACAGGCAATAATAGATGGCACTCGTGGAGGTAGGAAAACAAAGTTCTTTATGAACCACAGGATTGCTGGTAATAAAGATTTCAATGCAAAAGAAAAGGCAGTAGAGCTGACTATTTCTGTCAATGGTAAGTTTGTGATAACGTAAGAGAAGTAGTTTAAATGTTTTGCCACTTGCTTGAGCAACTTAATATATAAATCTAGAAGTAAATGCAA